CTAGATGTAGTTGCTGTTTGAAAATTTCCAGTGATAAGAAACACATTGCCTCAGAAAGCAGTGTACTCTAGTTGCACACCTCTAATAGAAAAAAGTTTTTAAGAAGTCAGACTTTGCCTCCTTATATTTCCATTATTTGTAGTTCTGTTTTGTGTGTGTGTGTGTTTAATATTTTTTTCTTTATTGTTAGAGAGGAAGGAAGAGGGAAAGAGGTAGAAACATTGATGAGAGAGAGAACATCGATTGGCCGCCTCCTGCATGCCCCTCACTGGGTTGGGCCCACAACCTGGACGTGTGCCCTGACCGGGAATCTAACCTGGTGACCTCTTGGTGCATGGGTTGATGCTCAACCACTGAACCACACCAGGTGGGCATCTAGTTCTGGTTTTTAAGAGTTGAGAATAAGGCTGATCTAAATTGCTCTTTCAGGTGACACAGTTTATGTATGTATTTGAAGACCACCATGGCCCTCAGTCTTTCTTTTAACTTCACCCCTTTAAAATGTAATCTCCTTTGTGATAGTTAAGATCTTATATGTACAGGCATACCTCTGAGAGACTAGGTTCTGTTCCAGATCACCTCAATAAAGCAAGTAGTAATCATTTTGCTGGCAGAGGGTCTTGCCTTCCATTTGTAAAAAAAGTACAATGTCTGTAAAGCACAATAAAATGTGGTATGCCTGTAGAAAGTTAAGTATCTAATAGGCAGCTTATTAGATGAGGCATTCTGATGCATAGGAATTTCAAGCTTTAGGAATTATGTTGTACCTCTTTTTTTTTTTTAAATCCTCACCCAAGGATATTTTTCCATTTATCTTCAGACAGAGTGGGAGAGGGAGAGAGAGAAACATTGATGTGACAGAGACACATCGATTGGTTGCCTCCCACACTACTCTTACCAGGGCTAGGACCTAACTGCAATCTGGGTATGTGCCCTTGACCAGAATCGAACCTGTGCCTCTTTGGTCCACGGGCCAATGGTCTAACCGCTGAGCCAAACTGGCCAGGGCATGTTGTACCTCTTCTGTAGTACTCTTGGTGATGTTCTTTTAGAGTTAATTCAAAGTGTTGTTTTCGCCCTGGCCGGTGTGGCTCAGCAGTTAGAGCATTGGCCCACAGACCAGAGATGCCAGAGTTCGGTTCCCGCTAAGAGCACGTACCTTGGTTGTGGTTTGTCCCTGGCCCCAGTTGGGGTTGTGTGGGTGGCAGCTAGTCAGTGTTTCTTTCCCTCTCCCTTCCTCTCTCTAAAATCAATAAAGAAAAAAAAAATTTTTTTTAAAGTGTTGTTTTTTCTGTGTTATAAACCATTAGCATATAGTAATTTTTTATAGTAGTAAGTCTTGGGTTATTAAGAATCATTTTTATTTTTTAATTAAGAAAAGAAGTTGCTATCATATATTCATTTACCCAGAAAATATTTAAGCCCCAGCCACTCTGCCAAGTGATGTGAAAGATACTAGAAGTTGCAGTGGCAAACAAGGGTGTATTTTTAAAAACATAAAAAATATGATCACGTTACTTGAAGGCATGAAAAATAAGAACTTTCTAGGTACCACTACCTTTACATTACCACAGATAGTGTGTTTTTGTATTTCTTAGAGCTCTTTTTTTTATATAATTCTTTTTAATATAATTGTAATCATATTATACAGGGTTTGTTTTTTCTTTGCAATTTTTATTAATTTATTTTCGTTACAGACTTTCCACTTTTTCCCCCGTAGACACCCTCCTCCCGATCCCCACCCCCAGCATTGTTGTCTATGTCTGTTGGTTACACAAACATGCATATAAGTTTTCTGGTTCAACTCATCCCTCTTGTTCCATACAACTCACCCTATTTAAAGTTCACACTTCAATGACTTTGGTATATTATTAGTATTTTTCTTATTGAGGCAAAATATATATAACAAAATTTGTCATTTTGACTTTTTATTTACTTTTTTAAATATATTTTTATTGATATTTTAGAGAGAGAGGAAGGGAGAAAGAGAAACATCGAAGTGAGAGAGAAACATCGATTGGCTGTCTCCTGCAGGCCCCCCACTGGGGATCGAGCCTGCAAGCTGGGCACGTGCCCTGACCAGGAATTGAACTGGGACCTCTCAGTCCACAGAACTATGCTCAATCCACTGAGCCACAATGGCCAGGCCATTTTGACTGTTTTTTTTTTAATCCTCACCCGAGGACATTTTTCCGTTTTTTGTTCAGATAGAGTGGGAGGGAGAGAGGGAGGGAGGGAGAGAGAGAGGAGGGCGAGAGGGAGGGAAGGAGAGAGAGAGAGAGAGAGAGAAACATTGACATGAAAGGGACACATCGAGTGGTCCCCACCCGCATGACCCATCCAGGGCCAGGGACAAACTGCAACCGAGGTATGCGCCCTTAGTGGGAACTGAACCCAGGTCTCTCTGGACCCCAGGCCGACGCTCCAACTGCTGAGCCAAACTGGCCAGGGCCCATTTTGACTGTTTTTAAGTGTGCATTTCAGTGGCATTAATTATATTTCCAACACTGCAGTGCTGGAAAAGTACTTAATGCTTTACCCAATGTGACTCAGTGCACCAAGAGGTTGTCAGTTCGACTCCTGGTCAGGGCACATGACCAGGCTGTGGGCCAAATCCCCAGTGGGGGGGCATGCAGGAGGCAGCCAATCAATGTTCTCTTTCATTGATGTTTCTGTCTCTCCCTCTCCCTTCCTCTCTCTTTTAAAAAAAAGGGAGGGGGGTTCTTATGCCTTATGGAAAAGTATAAGCAATGTATGACAGGGTTAGATAACTTATGACACATGTTACAAAGAACATTGTAGACAACTAGAAAAGGCATTTCACTTCATCACCATATGTATGTCTTACCGTTTTCTCTTTCTTTTCCTAATAATCCCTTTGTTCTGATTTTGGGCTTACCAGCCGGATCCATAGAGGCAACCATTGCCTCTATATCCAACATTTTTCATCATCTTAAACAGAAACTCTATATCTATTATGCAATAACTTCCCATTTCCCTTTTCCCCCAGTGCCTGGTAACCTCTAGCCCATGTTCTGTCTCCGTGAATTTGCCTCACCTAAATATTTCATATAAGTGGAATCATATAGTATTTGTCCTTTTGTGTTTGGCTTATTTCATTTAGAATGTTTTCAAGTTTCTACATTCAGTTTTTATCCTCTTTTTAGATAGCATATTAAAACACTTTCCACGTTTCTACATAGCTTTCATAACTTGTTTCATATTTTTTTAAACCATCAATCCAGAATGGTATTTGAAATATTCTTTAACTGGTGTGTAATAGTTAGGTTTTCTAGGTTCAAGAAACCCAACTCAAATAATTTACAAGAAGGGAATTAATTGGCTCATGGAAGAGGAAAGTACAGAGGGTTAAATCTGGCTGTAAGCAGGATCCAGGGACTCAGGAGATGTCATTAGGACACTGTCTCTCTTCCCAAGCTCTTGGCTCTGCCTTCTCTGGCTTCATTCTTAAGAAGCCACTCCTTGTGTCTGTGATGGCCACCAGTAGTTTATGTCTTCCTGTCAGCTGCAGTCCCAGCAGAAGGAGTATATCTCTTTCTTAATATCTTCAGCAAGAGTACTGGAGGTGATTCTTTTTAGATCAAATGCCTAACCCTAGAGTTCAGAGATGGGATTAGGCCTACTCAAACCATATGAAATAAGAATGAGGAAGAGATGGCTTCTGAAGAGATGGTGGAACAGCAAACACCTTTCTATCCTACTGGCATAGTAAGCTCATTTGATTGGCTATGTTCAACATAAATATTGTCAAAAGAGTGAATGAGCAATAGCACCCTGTCCTTGTTGAACTAACAATGTTTTTGTAATACTTTTACAAAAATCAGTGGTCATCACCCTCTTTAGCCCCATTTGTCTCTAGCAGAATTAAATGCCTGTGGGCTCCATGAGATCCGGTTGGTAAGCCCAAAACCAGAACAAAGGAATTATTAGGAAAAGAAAGAGAAAACAGTAAGACATGCACATGGTGATGAAGTGAAATGCCTTTTCTAGTTGTCTACATTATTCTTTGTAACATGTGTCATACATTGCTCATACTTTTCTATACGGCATAAGCACCTTTCCAGCACTGCACAGTTATGGGACTAACTGCTCTTTCTTGTTTCCGAAGGCACAGCGGCTCTGTAAACGCTGTGGTCAGGCATGGAGAGCTGCAACACTTGAAGGCTGGAAGCTCTATCATGACCCTAATGTTAATGGAGGTATTTTAATAGATTATATTCTGAGAGTGGGGGATTAGCTCTAAATGCCAATCTTTATGAAGTATCGCTTTTGTTTTTAGAGATCACTGAAAAATTTCATTTTAAACTATATGTTTTATTTCCTTAACTGTTTTATAGGAACAGAATTAGAGCCTGTTGAAGGGAATCCATATAGATGCATTTGGAAAATAAGTTGTTGGAGAATGGCAGAAGATGTAAGATATAATAAAGTATTTACTGATAATTGATTTTTACTCTAATTAATTGAAATCCTGATGAAGGTATTCTGAAATGCTCGGAGTCGTGTAAGGCTAAAATCACTGCTTTCAAAGAACTTCCAATCAAATTGAGAAATCAGAGTTGACAGACTTAACTACTAAGCAGAATTACTCAGACACTAAGTAGTAAGAATTAAACACTGATAAAAGGCAAAAATATAAAGACCAGTGAATTCTGAGAATAAACATTGGGCTAAAGCTGGTTCCCAGGAGAAAGAATCAAATTGAACTTTTAAAAATTAGTGGGATTTGGGCTGTTGGGCATGAAAATAAGGAATTTTAGGTAGGATGCATAGATTATGATTTGACTTATGCATTTCTAAAAATCACTGCAGCATGCAAAATAGTACAAAAACCCACAGGACTTTTTGGGGGAAAGTAGTGAAGAGCACAATATTAAAAAACCATCAGTGATACATAAGAACTTAATAGAAGTGGCACAGTTTCACACTGTTAAATGGTTAGGAAATATATAAATACTACTATAAATGTGGCACTTTACCTTGAAAGAGACTTGACGTTTGCTTGTGGAATTGAGTGTCAAAAGTTCCAGCATGTGAGTTATTGTAAAGTGGTAAAAGAAAGTTATCTGAAATTAAACAGAAAATTGTAACACTCAATGTGTGTCAGTTTAGCATATAACACACCGGATGAACTAAGGTGGCTGGTAGATGTTTGAGGTGTGTTTCTTTTATATATGTCTAAGTGGCCAGTTCAGCTGGGTGTAGTTTTCTGCATTCACTTTGTGTTTCTTGAGGATGAAATTGTGCATAAACAAATGGGAAATATGCAATATGTTCAGATTGTTCCTTGATATATCAATTGCATTGGAACAGATTCACATTTTCAAAACAAGCATTATAGCAGAACTGACTGTAATGAAAAGGTGATTGAAAAAGGTGAACTAAGGACAGGCAGTAGTGGTCCTCAAGTGCTGCTTAAGGAATGAGAGGTTTTTTAATTTATTTTTTTTTATCCTTACCCGAGGACATTTTTGCATTTATTTTCAGATAGAGCAGGAGGGAGAGAGGAAGAAAGAGAGAGAGAGAAACATCAACAGGAGAGATACATCGAGTGGTTGCCACCCACACAACCCCAACCGGGGCCGGGGACAAACCACAACCGAGGTACATGCCCTTAGCAGGAACTGAACCCAGGCCTCTCTCGTCCGCAGGCCGATTCTGCCCTAACCGCTGAGCCAAACCGGCCAGGATAAGAGGTTGTTTTTTTGTTTTGTTTTGTTTTGTTTTGTTTTGTTTTGTTTTGTTTTGTTTTGTTTTGTTTTAAATCGCAGATAGTGGTGAACCATTGAAACCTCTAGGGCACATGACAACAGTGTTTTAAGATTAGCCTGATAGGAGAAAATAGGCTTAAAATTGAATGGACTAAAGGCTGAGTAATTAGTTATGAGCCCGTCAGAATCATTCAGACACTAAGTAAAAAAGACTGTCCTTGCCCTGGCTGGTTTGGCTTAGCGTCGGCCTGCGGTCCAGAGAGACCCGGGTTTGGTTCCCACACGTACCTCGGTTGTAGTTTGTCCCCGGCCCTGGTTGGGTTGTGTGGGTGGCAGCCACTCGACGTGTCCCTTTCACATCCATGTTTCTCTCTCTTCTTCTCTCTCCCTCCCACTCTGTCTGAACAAAAAATGGGAAAATGTCCTCCAGGTGAGGATTGGAAAAAAAAGACTCCTATATAATTGAGAGTGGACAGGGAGGGAACAAGAATGGTCAGGACAAGTAATTGGAGACAGAGGCAGAGGAGGACTCAGATAGTGAGAGCCTCCGAAGTTTGGTGTGGATGATAACTGGAAGTGCAATTGATAGATTCTGGAAGTAAAGTGAAATCGTGATGAATATAATTAATTCTGTTTAAGAGTTTGATGCAAACTGATGCCTGCCAGGTTCTAAGTGCTTTGTTGTGATGTTTTTAGGTCAGTATCAGGTAGTATTAGATATTTAGAAACTTTCTAGCTTAAAACACTAATACAAATCCTATCTGGAATAAAATTGGACTATTATAAAGAATTCATTAGACTTGGATCTGCTTTTACCGTATATTTGAAATTTAGGTGTTTGACTTTTCCTGAAGATGTTAGCATTGACTATATGAACTAAGGGATCCTTCCTCTTATTACCCCACCAAGATATTTCACTAAAGTTTAGAAACTATCAAATAAACAAGTTCAGTTTAGAAGATATTGCAGAATTCCAGATTATGAAAGAAATTGACAAACTAAGAAAAACAGTTTTCCAAATTTATATTTTTTGTATTTCAGGAGCTTTTTAATAGATATGAGAGAGCAATTTATGCTGCTTTAAGTGGGAATCTCAAGCAGGTATGCAATCTATTTTAATAATTCTTTACTTTTCCTATGGAACAAAATCAGATACATAAAATATTCTAATAATTACATATCTTATAAACTTAAGCTACTTTTTAAGAGTGGCAGTGATAAAAATAATCATGAAATAGAATAGTGACTCGAGCTGCTTAATATGATGTATCCCATATACCAAATGATGCGTTAATACATGAAATCAGGCTTCAGTTTCTAAGAATTATAAGTGTAATTACAGCATACATTTATTGATGACTTACAGTCAACATAGCTTTATACAGAAGTGTGCCACTGAGGCATAGTGACTCCTCAGATTGTCTAACAATCTATGGGTGACCTCATTACCCCCTGCATTTTACATCTATTTTGAGATATGTTATATTAGTTGAAATCTATCGTATAGCAGCATGGAAAATTAATGCTATTGTGAAATCAGTATGGAAAAAATCTTCATAGTTCAAACTTAGAATGTGTGGGGAGTGGGTGGGTTATTTGATATATTTTATATTACAGTCCATAGTATTTTGTGATTATAGTAACTTTATAGTCAATATCAATGGATGTAGCTGTATTTCTTTTCTTTTTTGATGACTATGTCTATGGGCTTCTGTTTTGGATTGGGGGAAAAGCTTCTTCCTGTCTGTGACACCTGGGAAGACACAGTGTGGGCCTACTTTCGGGTGATGGTGGACAGTCTGGTAGAACAGGAGATCCGGACATCAGTAATAACTCTGGATGAAACTGAAGAACTCCCTAGAGAATATTTGGAAGCAAAGTAAGTGTGCTGGTTTGTTTCAGTCATGGTGATTTTTAGTATAATATAAAGTTTAATTTTGTATCCCTTGTTTATATTATTAATATTATTTTATCGCTTTCCTGTTCTTTCTTTCAAAGTTGGACCTTAGAAAAGGTTTTCGAAGAACTTCAAGCTACTGATAAAAAGGTAAACAGTAATGTGAATATTTTACAGTAACTGAAATAGGAAACAATAGATGTTATGCTGTTAGGCACTATAGCTGGAAGGCAAAAAAATATATGAAACTTTGTTATCTTCTTCCTTTTTTTCCTTGCCTATTATCCAAATGAGAGACATTTTTTAAAAAGAAAAAACCTAATTGCATATTTAAGTAATGTATCATTTCTTTTTCTTTGGTTTAGGATTGGACTCATCTATAGATGTAGTGTGCATGTAAGCTAATTTATCCCTTTCCTTTTGAAAAAGAAAGACATAATGGAAAATAAAAATTTTTCTAGATCTTAAAATAATCTATTATTTTTAAAAACAGTAATCTTTAAAAAAATTTAAATGGCCCTGGCCGGTTTGGATCAGCGGTTAGAGCGTTGGCCCTTGGACCAAGTTGCAGGTTCGATTTCGGTCAAAGTCACATACCTCGGATGCGATTCGTCCTCAGCCCTGGTTGGGGCCATGCGGGAGGCAGCTATGTTGATGTTTATCTCTCTCTCTCTCTCTCTCTCTCTCTCTCTCTCTCTCCATCCTTCCCTCTTACTCTATCTGAACAAAAATGGGGGGAAAAATTTAAATGATGAAAATAATAGCATATGTCCTTGGAACAAAGTAATCCAATAATAAAACTTTTATAATTTCCTCTCAACACCTTTATGGTTATTCTCATTCCCCTGAGAAAGCACATTGATGGGTATCCTTCCATATCTTTCTCCATACTCTTACAGATATGTAAGAAATAATATAGATATTCCGCTGTATGGTTCTGGGTTTTGTTGTTTTTCTCATACTACATACACATTATTCTACAACTTCTGTTGTTTTTTTTCTTCTTTCATTTAATGATAGTCCAAGTTAGTGAATATAGATTAACAACCTAACTTATTCTTTTTAATAGGTACATAATATTCTGTAGAATGATGTATAATTTTTATGTTTTGATTGATTTTTTTAGAGAGAGGAAGGATGAGAGAGATAGAAACATCAATGTGAGAGAGCTATATCGATCAGCTGCCTCCTTCACGCCCCCTATTGGGAATCGAGTCCGAAATCTGAGCATGTGCCCTGACCGGAAATCGAACTGGGATCTCTCAGTCCATGGGATGACGCTCAATCCACTGAACTGATGTAAAATTTTTTAATCATCCCACTTTTGGTGATATTGAGGTTGTTTCTGACACTGTAATGCTCATCTACTAGTCTTGTTTCTTTAGGGTAGGCTTCCTGAAAGCAGGGTTGCTGGTTAAAGGGTATATGTATATTAAATTAATTAACTGATGTGTCCATTTCCCTGCATTTTCACTGGTTCCAAGTATCACCTTTTTATTTTTTCCAATCCGTTAGATTAGGTGAAAAATAGGAGTACACTGTTCTACTCATATTTTTCTGTGTATTCATAAGTCTGAGCAAGTGTTTCTGTGTTTAATGACCATCTGTGAATTTCCTGTTAGATTTTTTACCTATTTTTCTGTTGGGTTTTATCCTTTCCTTATTGCATGAGCTCTTTGTATAGTAAGGAAAGTAATGCTTTTTATGACAAGGGTTTATTGCCAGTTTATTATTTTGGAGATTTCAGCAAATGAAAGTAAAATAAAGTCAAGGAATAGGTATAAATATTAGAAAGGAGGGAACATTTTCATATGGTAAAAGTGTAAATCTAGAAACTCAAAACTCCATAAATTACTAGAATTAATGAGATAAGAATTTGTTAATCTAAATTCAAGAAAAAGTTAGAAAAAGTCAGCCTTTCTATACTTGTTACAACTAGTTAGAAAAGGATATAGCCTTCCTCAAAAGTCCCATTTAAATTATTGACTAAAACTATAAGATACCTAGGAATAAAAATTAACCAAAGGTTTGAGAGCCTTCATAAAGAAAACTGTAGAATCTTATTGAAAAAGATGATGGCCCTGGCCAGGTAGCTTAGTTGGTTAGACTGTTGCCCCGATAGGCCAAGGTTGTATTGTGGGTTCAATCCCCAGCCAGGGCACATATAAGAAGCAACCAATGGTCCAGCCGGTGTGGCTCGGTGGTTGAGCATTGACCCATGCACCAAGAGGTCACCAGTTTGATTCCTGGTCAGGACACATGCCCAGGTTATGGGCCTGATTCCCAGTGGGGATCATGCAGGAAGTGGTCAATTGATGTTCTCTCTCATCGATTGTTCTCTCTCTCTTTTCCTCTTACTTCCTCTCTCTAAAATCAATAAAAGTAAAGAAAGAAAAAAAAAAAAAGCAACCAATGAATGCATAAATAAGCAGAACAACAAATTGATGTTTCTCCCCAC